GGTCCACACCAGAGACAGCTTTCTATAGAACCTAGCCTAAAGCAGTGTTAAACCAGAGGACGCCAAAAGACGAACGAGGTCCCATGATGTAGCTATAAATGTCCTGACAGTGGCATCGTCTTTGTGCTGTTCGCATTTTGGCGTCCTCTGGTCTAATACCGTTTGAAACGAGGCTCAAAAGAAAGCCGTCTCTGCTGCGGACCAATCAGTTTCAAAGACAATGCATATACTATCAGAGCATGTTTTTGTTGGCATGTTAGCAACAAGTATATGTGCTTAATGCAGGCATGATTCCTTGCTAAAGGTTTCTTTGGTGTTTCAACATCTTAACACAACTGTTTCATTGCCAGAAAGGGTAAAACTTATTCTTAAAAATTCCATAATGAGCATCATCACATTCGTTGGTAAAGACGTCTTGCCACGTTGCATTGCAATGAGTTAGGATACTAATGTGCTTAGATCTAGAATGCATTGCTGGTTTGAACTTCAATTTGTACAGCAGAGGGCGCTGTCCAAATGTCTTTCGAATGACCGGTCAAACGATTTAAAATTCCAGTCAACTTTCATTCACTTGTTTGACGGTACTGTTGACACCGCTCTGCGTGTCCCAACGTGTGTGTGGAGCGGTTAGCGCGTGGCGCTATGAACCCGGTGTCCCGAGTGCGATTCCCGCTCACGGGCAACACCAGTGACGATTATTTGAACCGGTCCTGGGGCTCCCCTAGGTCGACTCAGCCTCAGATGAGTACCTGGTGTGGTGTGTATACATCACCACTGGGGAGACAAAGGTGGTCGGGCGTGGTGCTGGCCCACCCACACCCTAGTGTACCATTCTAGCCTGCATAGGTGCTATTCGCTAACAGCACTTGCCCCAACATCAAAACTTACCAGAATATCAACAGTCTGTTAAGGATATACGGGGGATATTTATAAATGTGTCGTAAGCTTCCACCACCCGACACGGCCAATCAGCAAAAAAAGTGTCACGTTGACAAAAGTCAAATAGTTCACTACTTTAGCCCACCGGTGTGTTGAAGAGTGAATCCACAACATTTACAGTTTGAATACGACGTTTCGCTGGTAATTACAGCATCATCGGGCAATTCGCCAGAATGGTAAAGCCCTCACTTGCTCCCGGTCTTAAATAGAGCAGCAGGGTGACGTCATCACTTAACTCATTTCAGGTGCAGTGATTTGAGGCTGAGGGGGTATTGTAATTATATAATCGATTGGTAATCAGTTAATGGTTATGATTAGTAATGAGTTGTAGATTAGTAATTAGTTGTAATGTGTGTTATTGTGATTATATGCTACATTAGTAATCCGTTAATTAATGTGTTTCCCCTATAAGGAATTGTAATATGTATTATTTAATAATACGCTTCCAAGCCGCACTAAGCCTATAGCTATCAGAACGATTAAAGTTATTTCTGTTTCTCTCAATTTCAATGGATTCTCTAATTAGTCTTTGCCAGTAATAATTAGTTTTACACAACACTTCAACGTTATCAAAATCAATTGAGTGTCCTTGTTGACAAGCATTTTCTGCCACTGCCGACAGGTGTTTGAGATAATTTAATATTTCTTTGGTGTTCTTTTAGTCTTATGCTGATGTTACGTCCCGTCTGTCCAATATAGCATCTGCCACATAAACAATTAATCTGATACACACATTCTGTTGTTAATTTAGGTAATTCGTCTTTAGTGCAAGATACTAGTTTTGAATTTTGTGTACTGTACCAAATCTTACTGAAATGTTTTGATTTTGCAAAACACGGGCTAATTTTTCAGTTACTCCTGAGATATATGGAATTTTAATTGTTTTAAGAATCTGATCGCTTTCAGCAGTGTTGCTTTGCAATCGTGATTTGGCATTCAGTGCTCTGTTAATTTGAGTATTATTGTAGCCATTCTGTCGGAATGCTTCTTTAACGTGTTTGATCTCTCTCACTAGACTTTCACCATCTGACACTGTTTTAGCCCGATGTATGAGCGTCTTGATAAGAGAGGATTTCTGAGCAGGATGATGATGCGAATCTGCATTCAGATAGGCATCAGTGTGTGTTTGCTTTCTGTAAACGCTGTGTTATTTTACCGCTTATGCCATGTCCAAGCAAAATATCTAGGAACAGGAGTGTGTTATTCACCTCCATTTCCATGGTGAACTGGATGGCCGGGTTTTGTGTATTGAGATGATTTAGAAAATCATTAAGTGTATCTTTACCATGTGGCCAGACAACCAAAGTGTCATCCACATATCTAAACCAAAAATATGGTTTTAATGTGCTCGAGGCAAGTGCTCTTATTTCAAAGTGTTCCATGTACAGATTTGCTATAGCAGGAGATAAAGGAGAGCCCATTGCTGCTCCTTCCTTTTGTTTAAAGAAATCCCCTCTCCTTAAGAAGTGTTATTTAAACAATGGTCAGCAAGTTTCGGAATATCTTTTGGTAAACCTGCATTCTTTACTAGTGTATCAAGTAATTTAAGCGATTCGTTCACTGGAACCTTAGTGAATAGAGAAATCACATCAAAACTCACCAGAATATCATTAGGATTAAGTTTGATATCTTTAATCACATTCACAAGATGTTCTGAATTTCTTATTATGAATAATATTGGTCGCGAAAGCCTACGTGTTAAACTGATTTACGGGGGATCTTTGTCTTTGTGAGGATCACATCTGGGGGGAGCGGTAGCGCAGTGATGAGCGCACTGCGCTAGAAAACCCGAGTTCACGGTCAACATTGGTGACAAATATCTAAACTGCTCCAAGGCCTCCTCCAGTTTGACTCAGCCTTAAACGAGTAGTGGGTGATCTGTGTAAATATCACCACTGCGTAGACAAAGATCACCGGGCATTGTGTTGGCCCCCCCCATGGCCATTATACTGTAGCTGCTCACTAACAGATCTTTGTCGTTGTGGGGATCACATCTCCACATCTGCAGCACCAAGTGAAATTGCGGAAGTTGGAAAGTCTCAGTTTAAGCAATGAGATCACGGAGATGTGTTGCCTGTTTATTTGTGAGCAAATTATAACGATTAAATGATGATGATGATGATGATGGATTGGTGACGGTGGTAGAAATTCTGATGATGACCAGGGCCGGATTATGATATGCTGGGGCCCTAGGCAACCTCAGGCCTAAGAGGCCCCATCGAGGAATGCCTGTGTATTTGCGTCATACCGGAATGAATATATCCGTTTTAGAGAGTATATTTTCCCTTATCTCCTTTATTCTTCAACAGATTTTGTTCAAACTTTTCGTTTTTAGAGGCCCCTCAAAATGCGAGGCCCTAAGCTGCAACTTACGACAGGCATTGCCATGATGTTGATGCAGATAAGCAATGCTGATTATCATTCTTCAAGTCCTTACTTCCGATGAAGATCATGGCATGTCCCATGTTTCTGTTGACACTAACCCAGTGTTTCGCAAAGCACTCAGCCGATGCAAATATTTCCGTAGACCACCCTGGTGACAAAACGCATTCACTTGTCTCTCTAAATAAAAATTCTTCATATTTCCGGAACACAACAATATATATTTTTTTAAACGCAGTATTAAGGGTTTTTTTTTAGGGGGGGGGCATTTACACCTTAGGTTAGGGTCGTTCAATCAGGGTAGTTTACGGAACTTAATTTTTTTAAGTTAAATGTAAGTAAATTCTGAATGAATGTCCAAAACAAATGGTATAAACATTGTCCAGATCAACCTGCATTTGCATCAGCCCCGCAGGTCACCTGGAGGACCACACTTTGAGAACCACTGCACTAAACGACGATAATCATTGTTATAGTGACCTTGTTGCAGATACCAAAATGATGATGACTTTCATGGTGACGTTGCTGCAAATAAACAATGATGATAATTACACCATTATCACTTAATTCTTTAATATTATATCATGTATACAGTTATGTCTGACAAGAGAGGCAAATAATGACAACAACAATTCTGCAAGTGAGTTGCGAATGGACAAACAACAAGGGCCTGAAACAATTTTCAACAATTATTGCATTTGGCTGAAATGATAGTGACGGAAGGGCTGCCACCTCTGAGATACAAAAAAACCAGGACACATCAGGTGCAGAAGAATATCTGACAATAGCAGAAGAGGGGAGAAAACTACATGCAAAAGCATTGTCTCGAGTGGTGTATCATTAGACAGCTGACAAAAAACAGGATCTTTCAATGTTGTTAGGAAATACTTACAACATTTCCCAGCACAGCTATCTTTAAGCAAATAGGACGACCCTGGGAAAACCAGGAGAGGTGACAACCCCAAGCTCCACACTGGGCAGGATAGACTATGTTTACCATTGTTTCGCGCAACTAAAACTAAACAATTTTTTATTTTACCAGGTAAGGTCCACTGAACTCTATAGCTCTTTTTCAGAAGCGACCTGGCCACAAATGATAATTCAACGAAGTGGCTTATCATGTGGAAAAGTATAGTAGACAAAATACTCTAAACCAGTATTCTTCACACATTTTCAGAGGGGGAGGGCACTTTCGCCGATAAGATGTCAGTTTGAGGGCCGCCATACATTTGAAACCATTGTTGAGTTTGACAGCACAATGGGGGTGTTGTCACATGTTGTGTATTGTTGTGGGCTGTACGCCAGGGGCCGCACTAAAGGCCATCAGTGGCCCACGGGCCTTACAATGAAGAACACTGCTCTAAACGCATATTTCTACCCAAGCTAGATAACTAAACTAAACTATTTATTTTATTTTACCAGGTAAGGCCCACTGAGCTATATAACTTTTTTTTATCAGAAGCTAGCCACAAATGATAGCTCAACGAAGTGCCTTATCGTGACGTGCACATTTATAACAGCAGACAAACACTCTAGACGCACGTTGATTCCAAATGTGGAGGGAAAAAACCGGAGGGACCCGGCGAAAAAAATCCACAAACGTCGGTGGTGACGTGGGGAGGTAGTGGTGGGGAGTTAGTGGTGGGGATTGTGTGTGTGGGGGGGGTGTCGCTGCCTACCCGACTTGCTGGCGCCCATGAGCTGCCCGGGGCCCAGGTCGGTGTTGGGCACCAGCTCCCCGCGAGCCGCTCGACCGCCGCTCGCCAGCGCGCCGTTGGGCCGCACGCCGGGCCCCGTCGGGTCTCTACCGGGAACCCACGGAGGGGAGTCAGGACTGACCGTGCTGGGGGAGGGAGGGGGGCAGCACGGGGGTGGCGAGGGAACGGGTTGGGGAGGGGGGGGGTTAGGAGGGCGGCCAGGGGATGAGGGAGGTGGGAGAGGGGGGCAAGCATTCGCATTCAATGGAGCGGTGGTGCCAGTCGGAGGGGGCATCGGCTTCACGCGGCTGCGTCGTGGCGGGGAACGTGGCACCGCGCACGTCCTCGAGATGTGGGCACTTGCATGTGTAACGTCAATACGTGTCTAACTGATGTCTAAGTTAGACACCTCAAAGTGGCTGGTGGTTTGTATCTAAATGACGGTACAAGAGGAGGTCGTCAATATGGCATTTTGTGTACGTTACTCCGGTCGTCGTAACTTTCGAATGCATTTCACATACATCTCGACGACTCGCTTCACCGTACACGCACAACACCCCCTTTTGTAAATCCACTGCAGGTTGCGATGCATGAAAAATTAAAAATAAACAAAGTTCACTGCACTCTTTTTTTCATACTGAACAAACAGCAACATATTTACCATTGAGCAGCGAAAGGGGTGGGAAGGCTGAGGAGGGGGGGGAAGGCGATTCGAAAGTGGTAAGTCCATTGCACTAAGACCATGGCAACCTGAGTTAGATCCCCAGCCATGGCAAACATCAGTGGCGAATGATATCCCAAACTAGTCCTGGGCCCCCTCTTAACTAAGCCACACTGACTCCTGTAACTTCTATCGCTGAAACATAATCGGGAGCAGTGGATTGACAAAGACACGCCAATTATCATTTTAATTTGAACCGGGTGAATGACTGCATCAGAAAGCGCATGTTTACAAGTTAAGCTGCACATGCCAAGATTATATTTTCTAACCCAGAACTAACCAATGCAAATCTTGTTCAACTGTGTCATTTCTCTATGTGCCATTGGCTAAGCCAAGAAAGTTATTTAATGGTTTGTTTGACCTTACTGTATTCACACCTCCTGAGGCTAACAGTTATTTTAACACTCCGTTCTTTTCATAGTAAACATTAAATTGGCCCTCTCTGCAATTCGTATTAAGGATGAGGACTACGAATTGACATGTTAACTAGTTACTCATTGCATGGCACAGATGAAAGGCTATGAAAGGATAATTGTAAAACATAAAACGCAATGTGTATGCAAACTTATTAATCTGATTTGAACAGACCGTACAACGTATAACGACGCAATTCCTGATCCACAAATACGAAGGAGACATCACAGCAGCGATACACTCCTCCGCCACTCTTGACGCAGTTATCTGGCTTGACCACCTGAATGTGAAATTGTAATTGTTGCTCTGCGTCTACATCAGCCGTACGAAAGGAGAAGAATCTGATTTGAGAGGAGATCACACCTTTTTCACACTTAAAGTGCCACTATCCTTTTGATATCAGGGCACAATTAACAGTTATGAAAACTGAAAATGTGCTGTATCCCCGCTGAGATCATTTTAAATAGATGCAATGGAGGTTCAAACAAATTAGTGTAATAAGAAGGGTAACAAGCAAATACACATGTAAATAAATAAATAAAACACCTTAGTGTAATAAGAAGGGTAACAAGCAAATACACACGTAACTAACTAAATAAAACATTTTTAAATCTTCTAGCCGATTTTTGAAAAACGATTTTAAGACTTGTTTATTACTTACATCCTTCCCCCCCCCCCCCTTTTTTGTTACCAGCATGATCTTTGGAGACCCTAAAAATAGCCAAGGTGAAAATTGCATCTTTGGCAGGAGTTTACATGCGAGTTGGGCCAAGCACATCGAGGTTATAGTTTCTCCCCTTCCGTTAATTAGTGCCAGGACATCAGTTGCTCTTGCGTTGTACAGGACATGGAATTAAGCCCCCGTTGTCCATTTTGCGGATGCAGCCTCATCCAAAGACGCGTTTTCTTCCCATTAGCAGGGCTGGTTGCTCAGTGGCAGCTGTGGCTTGATAAGACTAATCGTGTTACCGCTAAGGCTGCACACATACTGCCAATGCATGCGTGCACAAATGCTAGAGCAAAGCCAAAGATCCCCCATGTAGCCTACGCAGACTGTCGAGATAAGTGCTGTTAGCGAGCATCCCATTAAGGCTAGCAAAACGGTTCGTGCGGCCACAACCACGCTTGGCAATCTTTGTTCCCCCTTTGATGATGTTTACACAGCGCATTATGTACTATTTGAAGGCCGAGTTGACCTAGGGGAGACCCAGAATAAATTCAGATGTTCATCGCCGGTGTCGGCCGTGACGGGAATAGAGCTTACGTCGAAGGGCTACATAAGGCAATGCACTAACCACAATGCCGCCGCTCGCCAAAAGCACCCACAGGCACACAATGATCCACACGTAGACACGCGAACACAAACACGCACGTCCATACCCTTTGGAGCTCCCGGAGCCATCAGACGCGTGCGACGCCATGGAGGTTGTTGATGACATGCTCTCTCTCGGTATCTTGGCTGGGCTGCCATTTTTGATCACTTCTGTCCAAACAGTATAAATGAGTGCACCGCAGTTAATCGACTGGCAGGTCGCGTGTGGGTGGGGTGAGATGTGGATACCCTTCCACCTCTCCCAAGACTTCGAACCAGGGTGGAAGAGCAGGTCGAAATGCCACCGAGTGGGGGGGGTCCTCGAGAATCCCCTTGAGCGGAGGTCCTCCGACAGGCAGTGGCATGAGTAAGAAGCTGAAGGGCAGCAGCATCTTTGTCCTTTATTTTAACCTCTGTCCGCACAGATAGGGTGCTAGACAGTTCGTTCTTGCATTGACGGAGATTTTCTGACGATAACGCTTCTGATCGGACCTAATGCTCGGGCGATCAGATACGCGCTGACAATTAACCGACCTCAAAACTGCTTGCGATGGGAACTCTCAGGGAAAGTGTGCTGGGAGCAGTCCTGTTTCTCAGGGGGGCGGCCCATCGACAGGCACGCGTAATGCGGGTTCTTGAATTGACAGCGAACGGAGAACATTGGATCCTGCGGGACAGTGGACCGTGTCAGCCCTATGATTCATGCAATTGCCCTGCGCATTGACCAATGCATCGCTTGGGTGACATTTCAATGAGCGAAGCCACGCTGAGCAACACCGTGTTGACAGCGGCGCATCAAAGGCGCCGTTACAATTTTGCACCGCTGAACAAGAAGTCACTCCATTTTCCAATAAGAAAAAACGACTAACATTCCTGAGCACTTTGTTCGTACGGTAAAGAGAAGCACTGTGACCAATGTTATTAAAAAAAAACTTTTATTTTTTCGGCTTAGATTGCGTAACTAATTACAAACAGCTTCATCAGGCGATTTTGGTACAGTTCTGTAAAAATCGCCTGATGATGCAGGTTGTAATTACCAGCGAAATGTCGTGCTAAAATTTTAAATGTTGTGGGTTGAAGTATTATATAGTTGGAACGTTTTGTTTACCTAACAATCATTACTAATTGGCCTTCTAACTCAAGAAAAAAACCCCTTTATTAAGTAGTCTGACTGAATGTGGTGTGAAATTAATATAATAAAAAATAAAATATCTTTCGATGGGCTGCTGCAAAAGTAACTCACTGCCAGCACCAACAATAATTGATTTCGCTAATTAACAACAGAGGTGGCATATTGCAATGGTGACCTCGTCAAATGACTCACTGTTAAGGCAGCAACCTGGCCAGCGGCCTTGGCTCAACCAAAAAGGCCGAATTGACGCTAACGTATAGACCTGCCTTGACAGTCTCAAAGTGAAACACTCGGTGGAATAGGCAATTGTGATTCCGTTGTGTGTCCCCGCTTCATTTCAATGTGAACATATTGGACGTGGCCGGCGTGTTAGGTAGAGATTTACCGTCTGTCCGGTGTGGTGGGTCCTGCCTGGAGAGCCCTCCAGCCTGGCTTGTGGCTCCGTTGCTGTGGGCCGTTCCACTCCCGCTTCGAAAATAAAATCACGGACATCCGTCATCGTCATCCTCATCGTCGTCATCAAGTCAAGAGAAAGTCCCGTCATAGATTACGCGTGTGGTGCCGTGCTCATATATCCCTGGGTGGCCCTGAGCCATTGGTAGAAAATGACACATTACCTTTATATCAGGCGCCAGTTTATATTTTAAACCTTAGCTGCAAAGTAAAAAGCCATGTTTCTATTGACTGCAATTGTGAAGAAATATTAAGCACACACTTGACTGTGTTCTAGAGAATTAACTGAAACGAAAAAAATATATATTAAATTCGTATTACTTAAACATTAACATTGTAAATAAATAATACGTGAAAATAACAAGAAATAAAATCAGTCCACAGAGGAGATGGAGCTATGAAATTAGCTCTTGTGTAGGTGCTTAGGTGGATCGTTGCATTGCTGGATGGTGAGAATTGGTGGTGGTAGCTTGGGGAGGCCTTCATCCAGCAGTAGATTGATCATGGCTGCTGCGGCTAATGATGATGATGATGAAGAGCGGTCAATGTATTGCTTATACCCTACCGCAATAAATTACCATTTTGTTCTCTCGTCTTACTTTGAGAGAAACAAAGCCGACGGAGGTATGAAAAGGATAACTCAAAATACAAAATTCTCACTAGAGACTCAGCTGTCTCTTTTATTAAATAAAATATTAATGGCTCCGCATTTATCCTCATCGACTACTTGGGCCAAGAGCAGTCGGTGAGCACCTATTAAAAGGGGGATCATGCACAGAGGGGACAGTGTGTGCCCATATTTGAATCCTCACGGCTAATGTCGACGCTGCGATCAGGAGCTCCTTTTAAGCTCAGGTCACATTAAGATTTAAAAGGCTGCATAGCCAGACATCGTGGGTTGCCAGGTTCATATGGGGTTACTACCTCTGAGGTCCAAAAAAAAAACGCCGGGGTATATCATGGGAAGAAGATGATCTCACAGTACCAGCAGGAGGGAGAACTCCATGCAAATGCACTGTCTTGAGCAGAGTATTATTACAAAAGGGACATTTTTTAAATTACTTTTATTGTACGAGGAAGACTTACAGATTTCCCGGGACAGCTGCTACTTTAACAAAAGGACAATCCTGGGAAAACGAGGGCAGGTGGCAACCCTAGATTCATAGCACGGTGCGCGAACCACAATCGCCAACAACACATTCCAGCATGTGAACAGAGGTGCAAACGCAATGAAGTAGGGCCCAGAATTTTCTCAGTGCCAACGGCGGCAGAAAGGTCCCATTATGAGTGTTGATTTAGCCATTGACCTGGCACCCTTTGCGGAGTCTCTGTGGCACTGCACCAGCGCCCCCGCGTGACAATTAACAATTACCCCACATCGCATTGCTGTGCAAATTAAAGGCCCTTTACCATTGACGTACATTAACGATCCAATCAGCAGGATGTCATTACACAAAGGTGCAGCATATGTATAGGGTGTCTTTTCAACCGTTTGATGTTTAACGACACTGATTTTTAGCACTTCCTGACGAAGCTGCTTAACAATGTGCAGTCACTGGGTGGCTTGAGATGGATCGTCGCAGCTTTAGGGTTCCCTCCTTCGTCGAGGCTGTCAGATCATGACCAGGTATCGAGAGCACACTTTTTTGGGTCAATTAGTGGACCTCTTTCCAATAACCCCAGCTCTTCTAACTCGTGTGCCCAGTGTGGAGAAGGCCCTTTGAAAGGTGGAATTGTTTCAACTGCATCGGCATGAACACTCAGGGAATGGCTCGATTATGTTTTTTTTTACCGAGATAATAATCATTAAAATCTACTTGGCGCGCAACAGACAGTGTTAAATAGTATTCGGAGATACGCATGGGGGAGGGAAGTGGGGATTTACACAGCTATAGCTGAATTGCCTATGGTGTAGGCAAACCTAAGCAGCAACAACACAAAACCAAACAGCTTCTGATGGCAAGCGTCAAGAACGTGGCAGCCCAGAGCAAGAGACGGCAGCTCTCAGGCCGGTCACGAGCAACGTTGAGCGGTGTCTCCGTGCGTGAGTTGGGCCATCCCCGGGTGCAGTTCAGAGACTGCGGACGTACGTTTCAGACGCTTTTGCTTTTTGAATATATAAAAAGATGCGAGAAAATCCTTAAGCGTAATCACGAGGCAGGTTTTCACTTGCGGCATAGACTGTTGACCAATTAGGACCGCAATTTAAGGCAGAAACAATTTGATGAGGCATAAATTGCCGTAAAAAAATGTGTGTACGTACGTTTTTGCACGGTGCTTGACGTACTGGAGCTAACCGACGTTTTAATCCACGCGGGAACGGCTGTGTTTATTTATATTATGCAAATGAGGCATACTTTCTGAATATACAGTGAGGGAAAAAAGTATCTGATCCCCTGCTGATTTTGTACGTTTGCCCCACTGACAAAGAAATAATCAGTCTATAATTTTAATGGTAGGATTATTTGAACAGTGAGAGACAGAATAACAACAAGAAAATCCAGAAAAACGCATGTCAAAAATGTTATGAATTGATTTTCATTTTAATGAGGGAAATAAGTATTTGACCCCCTCTCAATCAGAAAGATTTCTGGCTCCCAGGTGTCTTTTATACAGGTAACGAGCTGAGATTAGGAGCACACTCTTAAAGGGAGTGCTCCTAATCTCAGCTTGTTACCTCTATAAAAGACACCTGTCCACAGAAGCAATCAATCAGATTCCAAACTCTCAGACGGAGCCAGGGGTGGGGGGCGACGGAGCTGGGGGGGGGGCGGGCGACGGAGCTGGGGGGGGGCAACGGAGCTGGGGTGGGGGGACGACAGAGCCGGGGGGGGGGGGGGGGCGAAGGAGCTGGGGGAGGGGGGCGACGGAACCAGGGGGGGAGGCGACGGAGCCAGGGGGGGGGGGGGGGGCGACGGAGCCGGGGGGGGGGGGGGGCGACGGAACCAGGGGGGGGCGACGGAGCCGGGGGGGGGGGGGGGCGACGGCGCGAGCAGAGGGAGCCGACACTGACTTTCTCATACACCATGCACTGACTCACTCACACACCATGCACTGACTCACTCACACATCATGCACTGACTCACTCACACATCATGCACTGACTTTCTCATACACCATGCACTGACTCACTCACACATCATGCACTGACTCACTCACACATCATGCACTGACTTTCTCATACACCATGCACTGACTCACTCACACATCATGCACTGACTCACTCACACATCATGCACTGACTCACTCACACATCATGCACTGACTCACTCACACATCATACACTGACTCACTCACATCATGCACTGACTTACTCACACATCATGCACTGACTCACTCACATCATGCACTGACTCACTCACACATCATGCACTGACTCACTCACACATCATGCACTGACTCACTCACATCATGCACTGACTCACTCACACATCATGCACTGACTCACTCACATCATGCACTGACTTACTCACACATCATGCACTGACTCACTCACACATCATGCACTGACTCACTCACACATCATGCACTGACTCACTCCCACATCATGCACTGACTCACTCACACATCATACACTGACTCACTCACATCATGCACTGACTTACTCACACATCATGCACTGACTCACTCACATCATGCACTGACTTACTCACACATCATGCACTGACTCACTCACATCATGCACTGACTTACTCACACATCATGCACTGACTCGCTCATCATGCGCTTACTCACTCACACATCATACACTCGCACAACCACTGACCCATTCACTCATCATACACAGGTTCACTCATCGTGTGCTGACTCGCTCACACATCATACACTGACTCACTCATCATGCGCTGACTAACACATCGTGCGCTGACTCACACGGCATACACTCACTCACACTGCCGCTGACTCGCTCACACATCATACAATCGCTCACACATCATACACTGACTCACTCATCATACACTGACTCACTCATCATACACTGACTCACACATCATACTCACGCTGCTGCTGACTCACTCACACATCATACACTGGGAGTGTCGTGCTGCCAGCTATGGCTGCAGGTTTTGTCGTACTTGTTATGTATATCGTTTATTGTTAAATTATAAATCACAGTTCCTATGATTACTGTTGTTACATTGTTTTTATAGCTTTATTTTGGTGATTCGAAAACATATGGTTAATCTAAATTGTCTTATGGTTGTTGTTGTTGGCTTGCACCACATTGATTTTTGCACACAGCGTTTTAATAATTTTTTTGTGTGTGGAATATTTGCTGGTTTATTCCAGGATGTTTCTGTTACGCGTTGTCGCTTTAAGATGTTCTGTGTTCAAATTTAGTTTGTTGCGGTTGCACCCGACTTAAGAGCCACATGGCTCACAGGGCTGTACCTAATAAATGAAACTTGAAACACTTGAAACTTGTCTTGTTACATAACAGTGATGGCGCACTCGCAATAAAACTGTCTCGTGGGATCAAACAAAAAAGACGCAAACATTTACAAAAGGAATTATGATGCGAGACAGCCGCTTACCCGCGGTGCTCACGGTGCGTGCCGGAGAACGTGTCGTCCGTGAGCGCCGAGCTGCCCTCGCTGTCCACGCTGTAGCCGCTGCCTACGCTGCTGACGGACGACGTCGTTGAGATGGAAGAGTCCGGGGCGCGCTGGCTCACCGGCCTGCCTGTGGGGAGGCACCCACACGCTGACTCGCCAAGCTCCCTGCCCGCAGCCAGCACGCCCCGTTCAACCAACCGCTCAACCAACCGCTCAACCAACCGCTCAACCAACCGCTCAACCAACCGCTCAACCAACCGCTCAACCGCGCCCCGCTCAACCGCTCCCCGTTCAACCGCTCCCCACTCAACCGGGCCATTCTCAATCGCGCCCTGCTCAACCATTGGGTTATGAATCGTGGGCTGGGCGCTTCAGTTGGTCGGAAATAGCAGGTGATACGACGAGGGCTATAATGACCAGGCAATGTTATTTTCAGCCCGTAAATACACGTCTGGCTTTTACCGATGTAAATAATTGGTTAACGTCATTTGCGAGTGATGTCTGCGCCGGTGCTCGTACCAGCATTCGCCAACCAGCACTGATTGGCATGGTGAAGTATGGTTAAAAAAAAAGATGATTAATAGCACAGTGAGGGGAAGTCAATCTAGGAGTTGACCCACAAAAAAAATCTAAAAAAAATACTATAAATAATTAAATTGAGGGACCATCTGCTCCAAAGAGGGATGGCAGTGCAGTGTTTAACAGCAAAGTCAATTTTAATAAAATCACGACATTCATATCCAGAAAAAAATTTGTGTTGTGAGGTATCCTCATTATCTTCTAAGTCCATGAAAACATTATTATTGATTGAAAAGCATAATGTACTGAAATAAGGCAAACAATTGTTCTATAAATTTCCCATCACACAACATGCAGAAATAAATAACATTAAAATACTCAGATTGGAATTTCTCATTTTAATGACCATTAAAGTCTTAATAATTAGCAATTATCTTGAAACTACCAATTAGCACACGATATATTGTTCTCGTATCTTTAAGCAATTATGTTGCAGTCAGACGGCTGCTAATTGTAAAAGGGTCACGATGCAGGGAAATTCCACTAAAAGTACACGAGCCTGATTTGTGTGCATTTCACGGGCCCACGTCTGCATTTGATTAACGTTATTCTTACTGCGAACAGTTCAGGAACATAGTTCATGGGTCACTTCTTCTTCTTCTTCTTACCCTGCGGCATTTTATTTTGCACCGAGACAAATTGATTGCAAGTGGAACTTAAGTGTACGGCGTGGAGAATGACATTCAAACAAAGTTTGAGAACGGGGCCCTGAGTCTCAAAAAGGAGATGCGTGGGCTGCGGTGGTGAGATTTTATTTCCACACCATTGGTGCCCCCTTGAGCACACACATTGTGCGAGTGTGTCGCACTTTTTTCCTTTCGTGCCATTTAGGCTAGCATCACAGGAAATATAATAATAATAATTCATTATAGCAGGCCTCGATGGCAATTTACTACAATATACAGTACATTTCTTTGCAACTTTATACAGAAATTTTTTATCAGAATGAGCCAACACTGATTTACAATCAAGTTGGCTGTTAGTTAAAGGAGGGTTTTTTTTTGTTTCCAGTGTCAGTGTTGGTGCCAGCGTTGCCCTCCAGATTAACCACAGTTAATACAATTTCTCCCGGCACTTTGTGTCGACCTTTTAGAGAAACCAAGAGCAAAAACACAGTCATTCTCACGGCCACCACACGGAGGATTCTGTAATAACCAATTCCCCAAGTTTCCCAACGCTGTGATAACCATATCCCGAGTATAGCATGTATCGTACCAGTGCCAATCCACTGGTGGATGAGCGCCTCCCCACGCCGTGTGGGTTGGGGGAGTTTATTTGACGACACGTCACCATGCTGGGTCAGTGCGGGACTTGTGAAGGTGGGCACATAGAGATACAACTTAACAATGCATTTAGCTGCACTGTCCTCTGCTGACGACCTCCAGCTATCTATAACAACTTGGCATGCATGGGGGTCACCCATCCAAGCGCTATCCAGGCTCAACCCTGCTTTGTGGTCACAGGCTATGGCATCGATGCTCGGTCATTTTGAATATCATTGTGCAATTATTGTCAGAGAAAAGACCAACGCCTTCATATGATCCTTATGGCATTTCCCCCGGGATATCAAATAATAAAAATTGGCCGAGGCAATTAAGTATTTTATTTCTGGGACACTATTTTTTTCCCAGGGGTGTACTTCACTCCGCGACTGGGGTACCAATCAATCCGAATTCAGTGCAACTCCGCGCTGTCAAAATGCAGCGAGGACGATTACGCCGAAACCCTGAACGCTCGCGTATGCACCGTAGTGGTGCATCGTAGTGTACAGTTCGTCGAGATGAGCCGATTGCCGCATCGCCGACCATCAACAGACTAAAAATGACTGCATCACGGACATGATGCGAGAGCCGGGGTACTATGATACCCCGGGGTACCGCCATAAGGTTCATATATGCAAATATTTATTTATTTAGCTAATAGTATATTTTCTGAAGGCTACGGATGAGTAAAGTCTATCTGGTAAGTTTTAATATATATTCATGCATGATCTGGAATTTAAAATGTTGGTTTTCAAACACTAAAAAATGTTGGTCCATTACAGTATTCCAAAGGAAGTGTGTGGAACATTAGGCGATTATCAGATGAAATAATAAGGTTCCAGTGTGGAGAAGCTCAGGAAAATTATTTACATGACTTGCGCATTTGCTACAACACGAACCTGAACACTTATACGAATCCACTGACAGTTTAAATTCAGGCGTGTCGTTTTCAAATAGTTTCAGTTACAGTGGAACGGCAACAGCACCAGACACCCATACGTTTACAGTTAATAAGTTAAATATTTGCACAAAGCGAGGTTAATTTCTCAATAACATTGATGCATTTAAAGGTGGAAAATGAAGATTAATATCGGCTGAAAGTGGCTTTAAATGAGTGAAAATGAAACTAATAGCTGAGTGAACTCTACCTGGTAAAAGAAAAAGTACATTTTTCTTGCGATTTGCTTACTTTTCCTATACTTTTGCACTTCTATGGTGTTTTTTTTTGCATCGATCGTTATTGTAACTTTCTGACACTGTCCCCAACTGGCCATTCGCGAAAACAAGCTTTGTGGCTTCATCGCATTCCTCCAGTATGAACGACGAGTCTGATTCTGAGCGAGAGGCATTTTTTTCCCCCACTGTCGTCACGATCGCGTGGCCCCCAGTGGTTCGCCGGGCGCAGCTCACTTCTGTCGGACTTGGCGGGGCTGTCCGATTGCACCTTGCGGATGGCGAGCTGCGCCGCCACTTCCCCTGGCTCTGGGCCGGCCCCGTCCGGCGGTCCCGCCGCCGCCGCTGCCGCCGCCGCCGCGCTCTTCCGCACCGGTGGCAGCACCCCCGCTATGCTGTGTCTGTGCTTCTTCACATTATTTGGGGCTTTAGATGGCTTAGCCGCTGGGAGCAAAGCGAAAAGTGAAAAGCGAGAGAGAGTCCCCCCGGGGTGTGCTTTTATTTACGTTGCTTTTGTTCCATCAGTTTTTTTTTTGATTCTCGTTTTCATTTTTTTTGTCGTCTTCTCAAATGAAGTCACTCAACTACTGATGATTTTTAAAAAAATAAACTGAAAAAAAACAAAATCTGACAGAATTAGTTAACAGAACTGATTATTATACCGTAATCGTTCACGATTCCTTCACATTGTGTTGATGTTCATTGCATCGTGTTTATCTTTTGTATTGCATCGTGTTTATCAATTAACTTGAGTTTAATATACATATAATAAAAACATGTTTTATTAGTATTACTGGTAGTGTAGAATGGATACTTTTCCACTTATGAGCCAAACGTTGTCATATTATTGGTAAACGCCGAAGTAATATTGCATTAAATATTATGAGAATAACCTGTTGTCAAACAAGCTATCAGTCAGTAAAGCCATTAAGCAGATAAGCCAGCATACAAGAAGCTGCGTCAAATCAAGATAACACTGCAAATAAAAATTAATTAGCTATACAGCAATTAATGGCGCAACAAATTGCAGTTGTTTTCAAGACACATGCTCATCAGATCTGTTAACTGCTGCAAAGGATGACGATTCACATAAAAAAAAATAAACTTGAATGTAAAACTGTGAATAACCAGATGATTAAATGTATAAAATAATATTTACTTGCAATCAGCTTAAGTATTACAATTTAACTGCTTCACAATTATCTATATTACGCCATAAATGTAGATAAATGATGAATGCCAAAACTTTAATTTCCCACAATAATGCGTGATAAGTAGAGATGAGGCGTGCTTATGGATTTATGCTTGCATTATAAATTGGAGAGAGAAATCTAAACCCATGAAGGATAAACTCGTGGCTATGTAAGTTTCAAACTCGTGCGCAGCTTTCCATTAAGTATATATAATTCTTGTAAAATTGTTTTGAATAACATTGCTTATCCAATAACGAGGTTTTTTATTTACAATTGACAGATTGCAAGGACATCTTAATGGCAGGAACAGTGAAATATCAAGGGGAAATATTTGATGAGACGGGACGTAAATAAACATGCTTTAATGATCAACTAAATTAATGGGTGAAAAATGAAATAGTTAAACAAAAAAATATGAATCTCAAACAACATTAACACGTGTGGTTGTTTTGATAGGAAAATCTTAACGAAGTTACTCGTGCCCAGGAAAAGGTCTCAGGAAATTCAGAGGTGAACACACAAAGGTCAGATAATAGGGCCAAAGAAACATGAGGAAGCACTTACACATTTACAAAGTTGTGCTTTGTTTCAAAAACGGTGATAATATATTACACGTGCATATTTACATTTGAGGGTTTTTTTTCAGTAATAAAATAATTATCAAACAATTTTCGCGAGGGCTTCCTCAGATTTCTATTCAGTGGTGGGGGAGCCACTCCACAGCTGAGTGAACGAGGCAAACAGGCAGTAAAAAAAATATATATAAAACAAAAACCTCAGCTGGTGGAGGCCAGGATTATTAGACAAATGAGCGGGATGGCAGATTGCGTTCCGGTGCCTGTGATCGTTGACTCAACGCCGCAACAGCTGCTGTTGCTTCACGCATCAGAAAATGCACGATGCGGAAACCGTGGCACGGCAGCAGCGTCGGCGGCGGCGAGCATCGGCTGACGGCAAAGGGGAACGAAAAGACTCGGAAGATCAGGCAGGCAGGCAGGCGGTGGTGGAGCGAGCGCGGTGCAACGGAAGGAAAAAAATGCGAGCGAACGGTAAAAGAAAAAAAATCACACGGACAAAACCTACTGGCGAACGTAAAAAAAAAATTAACCCAGAAAAAACAACAACAAATAATTTGAGCGTGACTTCATTCTGCGGCTTGGGTAGAGGGTCTGCGTCGCCGTTTACTTGGCAGCTGCTGCTGTTGCTGGAGCTGTTGCACGGCGGCTTCTGCGGCGGCGATCGCCGCGCCCGCGCTCTCCAGGTGGCTCTGCGTGATGCTGCCTTTGCTCTGCGAACGCGACGGGGCGTGCGACGACGTGGCCGAGGCCGAGGTCCGCAGACGCCCCTCGGACGATGACTTGGAGTCGGGCATCCCGGCGTGCTGCTGCTGCTGCTGTTGCTGCGGTGGCCCGGACAGAGAGAGTCGCTGATGCCCTCCGGTCGACCCTGATGTTGCGGCCGCTGCCCCGGACACGGAGGAGGTGGAGGAGGACGAGCCGCCTACTCCGGACCTCGAGTCGGCCATGCTGCTCTGAGACTTGCTGCCCGGTGGACGCGGGGCTTCTGGAGGGTGGGTTAACGGGAGGAGGTCAACTCAACGTGGAGCAACTGCGGTCATGGGAAATCACAAGATGTCGAGATAGAGACAATGAATTGGGCCAAGCTGTCATCGTCACGGACGCCGTTGATGCCTATGCACGTCGACGTCCCGTCCGTCCTAGATCCTGCGGCTGTTGTCGAGTTAACACCTTCAGGGTCCACTCTGACAGTCTCCTGCAATCTGCATGTAGGTCTTGCCCTTGGTTGCAGACCTCCGGATGTCCACTCCAATGTCTTTGGCGTTGATCTGGCCTCCTCCACCCTCTGTGTGTCCCACCCATCGCAACCCTATTTCTTGATTAAGTCAAGAACAATTTAATTGCCACATTCAACGTGCAACTCTATTCACATTTCACATGCAACGGGTTGCTTGTAACAAATCAAGTCAAGTGTGAGAGCACACGCCAAGACAGTGCAGCTTCCACCCTCGGATGCCAACCCCTAAGATCTCACCTTGCAAAGCCTCCCAAGTGAGCTCCCTTCCTTTGAGTCTCTCCAGTCAAAGCCCCCAAGTGAGCCTCCTTCCTATCCCTGAATTACGACAGTCACGGTCGATCTGATGCAGCCATGGGTATGTGACCGACCCCTCATCCTCACCTGCCCCCACCCCCCACGTGGTTCCCTAGTGCAGACAACTTGGTGGGCAGGGTCAACCAAGGGGAAGCAAAGCGAGGAACCAGATAGCCCAAGTGCCATAGTGGAAATTCCCACATTGTTCAGGGAGCCAAAGCCTAAACATTACTGCAGTAGCCTATGGTGAGGCACAAAGATTCGGCAAAGAGAAGTGCCAAGAAAAGAACAATTACAACTAATTGTGGGAAGCCATTAATTAACAGACAATGCAGTTCAAAATACATTTGCGAAAGGATGAGCACAGATTGAATGCCTCCTTGCCTGATGTTAACCTTCAAGCCCGAGCTCTGAATAAAGCCTACAGTTATAAAAAAATATAAAACTTTGGGCCATTTAATCCTTGACATTGACAGATGAGACTCGTAAATGCCCTTGGGTTTCACAGGAAAATGAGCCGGTGAAATGTACAAACAAAAATAAATGATGGGCAAAAAAAATAATTCTAAGGGCAAACGTATTTTTAGGGAAAATATTTATTTTATTTCTCGGTGATGAATCTGTACAAATGCTACGCATGTGGTGGTATTGGCCGTGCACACGCGTTTCGTGTCGAAGGCCACTTCACGCCGTGTGCCAGCATGCCCTTATAACACAGACGTGCGCTTTCAACTTGCTGCAACAGGAGGAATCGCCACTAATGCCGCGCGAGCACCGCACAGACCGTCGCATTTAAGTCAGGTCCACAACTGACTTAAATCGCGCAACTTAACCATCGTAGCCCGCAACCGCTTTGTCCACCACATCTTAGCGGGTAGTTGCTGCGTGCAACACACACTTGGCTGGCCGTGGCAAACAAAGTGTCTATCCACGCCTTTTAGAGCATAGCCCCACCTCTTGTCAGGTTATCTCCATCACCCCAAAGAAAAAGATCCCTGTTATAGCCTGAATGGACTTTTGAGGCAATTGCTGTTAGCGAGCACCTATGAAGGCCGGTACAGCACATGAGGGGGTGGGTGCCCAACACCACGCCCGACCACCTTTGTCCTTCCAGTGGTGATGTTTACACACCAGACTAGGTACTCATTTAAGGCTGTGTCGACCTAGGGGAGGCCCATGACCAGTTCAGATAATCGTCACTGGTGTTGGTCGTGAGCGGGAATTCAACTACATGACCGCTCCCCAACAACAACAACAACCGCCATTCGCCGCTAAGTGGCGGTGACGTCCCCACGGCGCGTGTGCCAGGCTATGTGCGCGTTGAGGCCACGTGAAGTGACGAACGCCCGCTGGCAGGAGGTCACGGGACAGACCCAGGTGCCATGGCTTGACCGACCGAGATGACTGGCTGAACCGTTCCCCACCCCCCACCACCACCCACGTGAGGACTGCAATGCTCAGGTGTTGGGGAGCGGCCGTACCGCCAGTGCACACGCGCGCCGGGCCTCACTCACCCTTGGTGCCCTCGTTCACTCCCAGGTGGCTCTTGCTCTTGCTCACGGGCTGCTTGGAGGGGGGCAGCCCACTCTGAGGCCCCGGAGCCTTGGGGGGGGAGCCCCCCTCCGACTGCTCCCGCAGCGGGTACCAGCGCTGGGCCCCGTCCAGGTGGCTCACGTCCGACAGCTCGATGCGCACCTACGCGATCCGATCGGGCACAATCGGCGGTAGTTGTGGCCTCCGCGTCGCAACGCGATCGCAACGGGGGCCCCGCGCGTCTGCCAGTCCCTCGCACCGCCCTTTACGTGACGTGGCGCTTACAAATGCACGTTGCTGTCAAGTTGCACGCACGTGCGTTGATCTTCTTTTGCCACCGTCCATCGCCGACCGTGCTAATCAGCTGCACGAGATGTTGTTTGTTTTAATTAGACGAAACGTCAAAAGCGCGACGCCGTATAATCTCCACGCCATCGATTACTCCGGAAAATGTTTTTTGCAAAGTAACCGATGGGAAATAACTATTCATTTGCTGCTTAATTATCGTGATGGTTTGTGAATTCACCAATATTTTCTATAAAATATCCAAACTAAATTAGCCATTTTAATCACACTGTAATGGTATTTTTGCAAAACAGATGATGCGATTATCGTGGCCCTCACGTCCTACGGTATATATCGTAGTAACACAACATAGTGGGGATTATTACCCAAAACAATAAACTCGCCGTCAGCTTCACAGTGGACATTGAAAAAATAGAGCGTGCCATGTGCGTGTCGGCATCACTGTCCAACTTTGCCAACTAAAAAAAAGTACTCTCTGTTGAACTCACTTGGTAATATCGCCGCAAAATGGATATCGCGATAATCATGATGATTGTGAATATTGGTATTGTATTATGACAATACCCTGGAAACCCTACGGCGTGGGCATGCGAGGGTACGTCATGCGAGGGTTACATTAGGGACTAGCGTTCTAGCCGAGGGGCTGGAGGTTCTCTCATACCTATAAGGTCGCATCCATTGCACACAAAATGTTTGCCACAAATGAACTGCAATACCTCGCTGACCTTGTCAAGGAGCATAAACCATTCAGTGAACTCCGGTCATCCTCGCAGCAGCGGCTTTTGGCTGGCCATCGAACAAAGATGATCACCGCATCGCGCACTTTCACATGCGCTTCTGTGGCCGTCTGGAATGCTCTTCCTTCCGATATGTGGAAGCCACTGGAGCTATGCACTTTTAAATCTAGATTGAAAGCTCATTTCCTTCGAACTGCTTTTTGTGTTTAGTGTGTTGTCTTTCCCCCGCACCTCTGATGAGCATGGACTGGCTACATACGAAGTTCAACATACATATACACCTATTTCCACTGGAACATCCAAGCCAAGTCAGTGTGGGCACATGTGATTTTTCCACTGGTTACTTTGCAAGCCACCCCAGAACCACGCCGTGATATGCTAGCTGGCCTCACAGGACATCTGCATTTGGTTCGGGGTAAGCTGGGCTAAGGGCAGGTCTAACGATGAGTTTATTGCATGTGACGTCAGTCGGTAAAGTTAGGACAGAGCGTTACCCCGTCATCCACATGTGACTCGGACTCGTTTGGGGTATATGACGTCGGTGGCATGGCTAGTCTTCTGCAGTGGAAAAAACAAATTGGTGCCTCCTGAACCATGCCGGGCTGGCTCTGTTGTGCACTGGAAAAAGAGGAATTAGGTAGCTCTGCTGGGAGGGCCTTGGGCGAGGTCAGTACCAGCTCCGTGCGGTCACGTTTACTGCAGTGCTGCATGCTGTTGGGCCATCAACAACCTTTCATTGCCTGCTCTGAAATGTTAACTCAAATATACTTATAATGAGCATTTTGGGAAAACAGAATTTGCATTTGTACATTGTACGAAGCCACGACGGAGATCAGTGTGTGTCGGCAGAGATCATAACAGGCATACATAATTAATTTAAAGACTTCCCACAGTGGCTGGGCCTGAGCTGTAAACGTATGACAAGACCAAAGTGTGCACTTTCATTTAAATGGACTAATACACACACACACATTTCATTTCTGAGACAGCAAGCTGGTGATAATTATCAATAATGGGTGATGTATCAACGGGTATTGTAATATATTGCCATTAATGTTAGCTTCTTGGCGGAATTTTTTTTTTACTGTAATGAATGCCAACCAGGGTGTGGGTGAAGCCACTTGCTTTATCGCCAGCATCATCAGTGTCCTTGAAAACACCTCGACCCTTTGATATCTGACTTGGGGGGGGTCCTCACTGACTATCAAGGTCGATGTATAGAAAACATAATAAAATAATAAGTAACCAAATGTATGACGTTTCAGAAACGAAGATTTATGGAAAATCATAATTACGGATATTAGTAATTCGGTTAAATTGCTTAGCACAACAGGCACGTAACAATTAATCAAATCACCAATTAACACACATCCCACTGCGCTCGTGACGCAAACAATACACCACGTGTGCAATAATAAGTGGAAGTTATTCGACAAATTGTATGAATATGTAACAAATTTGGCTTACAGCCAAATGAGAAACAATACAAATGAGATGCTAAAAAGACAAGCGTGATCTAATTATTAAAACAATACAGTAATTGTGATTCCAAGTTGTTATAATGTATTGAATCTTGTTTGAGGGGTGGGCGGGGAGGTGTTTAGGGTGATTGTTACACATCTAATATAAATAACAATATCAACTAAACTATTTTTTATTTTACCAGGTAAGGCTCACTGAGCTGTATAGCTCTTTTTCAGAGCGACCTGGCCACAAGTGATAGCTCAACGGAGTGGCTTATCGTTACGTGAAAATTTATAGCAGCCAAATACTCTAAACGCACGTTTCTAAAAAAAAATTGGGGGGGGGGGGTGAAGAGGGGGGGAAACCGGAGGACCGGGAGAAAAATCCACGCATCCACGGAGAGAACATGCAAACTACAAATATACAGCAGGCGTCAGGGGCGGGATTGAATCCACAACCTCCTCTAGACCAGGCGAGGTAGTTCACATCTCGCCACTGCATATATATACCTGGTGTCATTAACATAAATACACCTGAAGAATAACCGAATACTGGAGAACTGTAGGCGAGTTCACGTCATGTTATTGCAGACGGCTCTGTGCACAATCAGCATCGCTGAGCACGATGAACAAATTAACATTCACTCCACGTCGGCCCGAGCTGTTCTCAGGTGATAATAAAACGTCCTGGCTTAGGGCTCAGCAAAACTCAGCCACGCTTCTGGGCCTAATTAAAACTTGACAGACATTGGATTTCCTGACTTTTTTAAAATGATCGCGCACGCGTGAACCGCGAATCGTCGCTCTCAGACACAGCCACGTCGATTACGGTCGACGCTAATCTCGCTGAACCACAACCGCCACCAACGCATCGGGGATGCATTTTCCGAGGTCACAAGAAAATGTCCCGCCGTACGCACACGGCTGTGTTGTGGCAGTCGCTCCAGCAGTGGTACACCTCGCTTTGCTGCAATTGCCATCGCATTTACAATCTGCTCTTGTTTTAGACGCGGAGAGACTAGCGCGTGACTGCCATTGGTTCATCGACATTCGTGACGTCAACACTCCTACGAAGGAGGCGAGGAAGCTCACAGAGAACAATTACAAATGATAGTTACAGGTGCAGCCCCTGCAATTGCTTAGTGTTGTCACCGCTGGTGGAGAGGTCTCCGTTAGAGGGTTCTCCAGAGGGCCCCTCCAGAAGGTACGTGGCCTACTCTTCCAGACCGGACAGGAATCTTGGAAGAGGTGAGAGTACCCAGACTTTATCTGACCACACGTAACCTGCCGATCATCTATAATGGTGGTGGACCTATTTATACAGCCGGGTGGACAGGGGCGAGGAGGATTTAATAAACTCCCCCTAATGTTTCAACTGCCGCATAACTTCTGGATTGCAAGTCCGGTGTGCTAACCATCACACCACGGCAGAATCCATTACCAAATAGTTTCCATTGCTCATGTTTAATATACAAAACTACAGGTTTTCATTAGGCCATTAACTTACAAATGCAACAGGCACAGATGAAATTGATCCACTTAAAAATACAGTAGTAAGCACTCTCATACCTCGCCGAGGAAATCGTTGGAGGAGAATCGATCGTAGTCCCAGACAGAAAACTCCAGTGTTTTCCTTTTCAGCTGCGATCACACAAACGGCACTGACACTTCATGACTTGAGGTAGGAATGCATCTCATTACGCAAAGAGTATTGACCCCGTCGTGGATATTTCAATGTTAATCATGCATTGTTAGAACTCTTCATCTATCGATACCGATCATCACGTTACGCTTGAATGCACTTCACCATATGTATTGGAAATAAAAAAAAGTATTTTCCATCTGATATTCGATCCAGATTGTGCGATCAGTGCAATGTCGTGTGAGGAAGAATCCATTCGGAACTTGTGCAGAACAGAACAATCACCCATTATCAAAGAACATTCTGTGGAGGTGGATATCATAGAATGACTTCTGAGACACCCTAAAAGTTATGTCTGACCCACATACTCGGTGGCAGCACTTACCGCACCAAATACTGAGAGTAATAACATCGTTGGGTCAGCTAGAACGCTTATTTCAAAACCAGCTGAAGGCTTCATTAGTATTGCTACAGTATTTGTCCAGAAGAGACAAATGAAACGCTGCTTTGGCTCGCAAGCAGGTCGAGCCAGCAGTCACAGACATGCGGTCGTTTGTCCCGTGACGAATGGTTCTCCATGTTTTCACGCTGCCAAAAGGCTCAGCATCGCGCTCAAATTAGAGAGCTTGCCGCGAACCCGGAGGGACAATTCCAGGGGCGTGCATCACCCCTACGAAGCTATCGTGGGGGCTTGTGTATATATATATATTTTTGTGAACAGGAAAAAAGATGGATTCACAATGGGGCCACTAAAACACCAAATGAACAAAAAAAAGACATGACCTCTTAATTTTTAAACGGGTAGATGTTTAAAACGAGCAGGGCAGCACTCTGTGTTGACACACGTACCTCATCGAGCATAATGTTCTTGTAGACGACTGTTTGGTTCCACTCTGGGTTCAGTGTTTTGTGGATGTACTTTGTTCTTCTCTTGTTCTCTGAACTGGCAGGGCCCACACGCACAGGTGGCAGCCACCGTGCTTCGGTGAATTTCGAACGGCAAAACACTTTTTCTTAAACATTTATTTGTAATGAGGCAATGTGCGGGCCCGACGCATCGCTTTGCGACGTGATGCGTATATACGCCGTCAACGTAAGCCAAGCCGGTTATGAAAAGCAGGGGATATAAAGACGGTGGACGGGCTTCGCTGCCCCAAACCATACGGGGGGTCCCACCGAAGGAGGAAAAGGTGACTACACGTTGGAAGCAACACTTTAAACACTTTAAACGGAGCGCATTCGTCGGACTTAGCACTTCATCAGTATTCTGGAAGTGAAATTATATACTCCTTAAATGCAGCAGAGCACCGGTAACATTACTGTTGTCTCATAATTTGATTCATCCCCTCGGTTTAGCTTGCTTCGCACGCACTCCAGACAATGCCAACAGTGGCTGTGATTGCGTACGTACTGAATTTAAACATTTTTCTTCCTCCTCTGGCAAGAAGAGGCCAGGGTCATATGAAAAATAGACCAGCAATCACTTAGCACACTAGGCTGGCACCAGCCGTGATATTGTGCACAGATTTATTATTTTTTATTAAAAGTCATAGTCGTTCTGTTGCTTACACTGTTATTGGAGTTTTGCTCTCATTTACGAATAACCCATTCATATTGCTTTTGAGGTTGACATTTTTCGAAATCAGACCATGGAAAATTCCACATTATATATATTGCCCGACTATAATTCTCCAGTGACGGCTAAGCAGCTGGCAAGCGCTACTCTTTGGAAGATGTCAATCAATTCAGTAACCTCACCCAGATGCCAAATATTTTCGACAAATATGCGCATTCTTCCAAGGGGTGAAAGCAAGAGAGCTCTCAATGTACAAATTCAACTCTAAAATGAAACACAGTTTGGAGCAATGAGGTTCCATCATGATCAACTAGTACAATACAAGCCCCGTGCGTCAATTTCACTGCACATTTTACAATGACCTTTATCATGCTAACGAATATGATAATCAGCACGATAATCGTATCATTAAGATAATTATAATCTACAATCCATTATCGTCACTGTTGCCCTTTATAACCTGTGCATTGCTGAGAGGTAATTGAAACACGCACACGCCCATGCGTTAAACGGCAGACACTCGTACGTATCTCGAAATGGTTCAAATTTCCCCATAATCTCACAGAGTACGCCGAGCAGTTAATGCCCCACGTGGCATACATTTTCACAAAATGACGACACTCCCCACCACCATAGTAAACAAATAAAGCAATCTCTCAGACTAATATATTTATTTCTCTGCATGCAAACTGGAGAAATGCTAACGGATACATCTTTTTATTAATCAAAGAAGACAGGAAAACATAGGCTGAGGCAATTGGTAAAAAAACCCATTAGCTTGCTCAGGATGGTGTCATACGAAAAGACACATTTCACTTTTTACCTGACTTAAATTGCTGGGCTCAATTGCGGGTTATTTTTTGTGTAAATGGCACGGTATTTCGGCTAAAAAGGTTTTCAGCCATTCCCTCCAAAAGGCACGCTGTCAAATTAAATGCATGCACATGTAGGGATGCTCCTCCACAACTCTGACACTTTCACATTCACGCCCTCTTCCCCCCCCCCCCCCCCCTATTAATATTACCCTAGAACTGAGCCATTGCCTGGACAGGTGCAACACCAAGCCAAACGTGGGGCCAAGTCATCATGTGTCATGAGGGTCCGTAGCCTGCGATGGTTGATAACCACGCTCACCCGCAACCCCGCTCATTGTGCTCAATATTCTTCTTGCTACCAGTGCTGGACTATGGTCAATTGCGGCCTCCCTTCCAGCAGTGACACTTTGCAAAGAGCGTCCAAAGCCAGGCCGGCACTGTCGTTTGGTCGGCGCCAAGAGATCTGCGAGCATTCTCAGCGCCGGGTTGTGCTCCTGATTTTTAATCTCCAGCTGTAGTTCACGGAGAGGTCGCAGGGTCACGGCCAAACCAGCATGCCCTGCACGGTTCGGTCGTTTGTGATGTGGTAGAAGCTGGATATAAGCACATCCCCTTGGGAGGGAGCAAGGCCAAGTATGCTTATATCTGAAGCGTGCTCGTCTCAAAAGTGTCCCGTCTTTGTCTTCTGCCTACTGGTGTGATGTAAGGATGCGTTGCTTAGATGACAACTGTTCTTACGGAAGATGTGATAATATCCAGCGCCGACTGCAAACCGTTCAAAGCTATCAAATAATTTCCGAACGCTTCATGCAGTTTCGACTGAAACAACAACAACAACAACAACAACAAAAACCAACACAAAAGACCGGGGCGCAAGTGGCGAAGGTGAATTTTCAACCTAACGCACCGTTGTGAGTAGGGTACAAGATACAGGTGCAGCTCGCCAAAGATTTGTATCACACCACTGCTGTCAGTAAGCCCGTAATCGGAAGAAGATGTTCTAAGGGCAGTGTATCTCAAAATATTTTTTGGCCCCACTGGACCACTCTGCCGACGCAAAACATTTCCGCGGATCCCCCCCCCACCCCTGATGACAAAACGCGTTCACTTTCCTCTCTAAACACCAGTAATACAAAATTAATCTAATTACCGGAAAATATAATGTTTTAATGTAGCCATTACGTTATTTTTTTTCACTGGGGGGGGGAGGTCATTTAGATACAGTGAGGGAAAAAAGTATTTGATCCCCTGCTGATTTTGTACGTTTGCCCACTGACAAAGAAATGATCAGTCTATAATTTTAATGATAGGTTTATTTGAACAGTGAGAGACAGAATAACAACAAAAAAATCCAGAAAAACGCATGTCAAAAATGTTATAAATTGATTTGCATTTTAATGAGGGAAATAAGTATTTGACCTCTCTGCAAAACATGACTTAGTTCTTGGTGGAAAAACCCTTGTTGGCAATCACAGAGGTCAGACGTTTCTTGTAGTTGACCACCAGGTTTGCACACATCTCAGGAGGGATTTTGTCCCACTCCTCTTTGCAGATCTTCTCCAAGTCATTAAGGTTTCGAGGCTGACGTTTGGCAACTCGAAACTTCAGCTCCCTCCACAGATTTTCTATGGGATTAAGGTCTGGAGACTGGCTAGGCCACTCCAGGACCTTAATGTGCTTCTCTTGAGCCACTCCTTTGTTGCCTTGGCCGTGTGTTTTGGGTCATTGTCATGCTGGAATACCCACCCACGACCCATTTTCAATGCCCTGGCTGAGGGAAGGAGGTTCTCACCCAAGATTTGACGGTACATTGCCCCGTCCATCGTCCCTTTGATGCGCTGAAGTTGTCCTGTCCCCTTAGCAGAAAAACACCCTCAAAGCATAATGTTTCCACCTCCATGTTTGACGGTGGGGATGGTGTTCCTGGGGTCATAGGCAGCATTCCTCCTCCTCCAAACACGGCAAGTTGAGTTGATGCCAAAGAGCTCCATTTTGTTCTCATCTGACCACAACACTGTCACCCAGTTGTCCTCTGAATCATTCAGATGTTCATTGGCAAACTTCAGATGACCATGTATATGTGCTTTCTTGAGCAGGGGCACCTTGTGGGGGCTGCAGGATTTCAGTCCTTCACGGCGTAGTATGTTACCAATTGTCTTATTGGTGACTATGGTCCCAGCTGCATTGAGATCATTGACAAGATCCTCTCGTGTAGTTCTGGGCTGATTCCTCACCGTTCTCATGATCATTGCAACTCCACGAGGTGAGATCTTGCATGGAGCCCCAGGCCGAGGGAGATTGACAATTCTTTTGTGTTTCTTCCATTTGCGAATGATCGCACCAACTGTTGTCACCTTCTCACCAAGCTGCTCTTTGGTCTTGGCCATGGTGGAGAGTTTGGAATCTGATTGATTGCTTCTGTGGACAGGTGTCTTTTATACAGGTAACAAGCTGAGATTAGCACTCCCTTATCGAGTGTGCTTCTAATCTCAGCTCGTTACCTGTATAAAAGACACCTGGGAGCCAGAAATCTTTCTGATTGAGAGGGGGTCGAATACTTATTTCCCTCATTAAAATGCAAATCAATTCATAACATTTTTGACATGCGTTTTTCTGGATTTTTTTGTTGTTATTCTTTCTCTCACTGTTCAAATAAACCTACCATTAAAATGATAGACTGATCATTTCTTTTTCAGTGGGCAAACGTACAAAATCAGCAGGGGATCAAATACTTTTTTATCCCTCACTGTATTAAGGCTGGGGTAGTTTAATTAGGGTGACTTACCTAACTTCATTTTTTTAATTAATTATCATGAGTAGCATATTCGTTAATGTTCGACCACTTGGAGTACCGTCGGGAACCACTGGTGGTCTGGGGACCACACTTTGGGAACCACTGCTTTAGAGGCCCTCCCCTGGAGGGTGTTCACGTATTCTGTCATGCTGGCCGGACATATTTTGGAAGACGCGGGAGTCCCCACACTTTACTCCACCGCACGTGACCTGCCAATCAACCAACTGTGGTGTGTGCCCCATTTATACTGTTGGGTGGACAATAGCAGGGGGAAGAAATTTAAGGAAGTTTTACATTGTTTCAACTGTCGGGCTGGAACATCGAATTGAACTGGCGACCTCTGGATTAGGAGTCCAGTGTGCTCACTCACCATGCCACCAGAAAATGTATTTTTCTTTGTTAAAGCGCAGGTGCATTACATTCAGTGGAATATTGTAAAATTAAAATGAGTGGTATCGCTCTCTTTTCCATTTGTGGGGATAAGTCCCTTACGATGGTTTCATCTCGAAACTGCTCTATCCTCGGATGAAAGCCCAGTCACTCGTAATCATGGGAGCAGGAGCGGACCTAGAGGAGCTGCCAGCAACTGTCGCCCTCACGGCGAACCACGCAATCGGCGCTCCCACCCTCAAACCCCAAGGGCAGATGCAGGCTGAGGTTTTTTGGTAAACTGGGAAACATTTTGCCCCTTTCTTCCGTTTAATGTTTTTTTAAGTGGATTTTTTTTCTTAAACAGAGGCATCATTATTCGGTTTGCCCGTCCATCCATCTGTCCGACCAATAAATTATCATGAATGTTGAGAAATTAATTATCATTTATATTCCCTTTGTACGCGCACGAGAATTGAAATAATGACATCTTCGTTATTTCATTATGTATATATTTTTTATTCGTATTTTTTTCCCCTAGAATGTGGCGCCCCCCACTTAAATTGGTGCCCAAGGCGACCACCCAGTTTGCCTATGTGGACGGGCCGCCCCTGCATGGGTTGTCAGAAAGAACCGCGGGACAACACGCATTCGATTGGGCTCATGCTGCCGTCGATTTTGAAGCCAGGCTGTGGCTTTACACACGCCTGTCCACCGATAAGCTGAAACTCAATAAGAGTGAGCAAATATGATGGATCCCTCACAACTCTGACCAAATGATTACGTAATTGGCCTTGGATTAATAAAAATATATACAGTGTAGATATACACATACACATGCAAACACGCAAGGGCAAACAGATTGAGAATATTATGAAAAGGAGAAACAAACAATACCTGGCATTTTGGACAACCATAACTTGACTGCATATCCCAGAATGCACGGGGCAAGCAAGAATATCAACACATCAAAGCATCAGGGCACAGACAAGCAGAGAAACAAGTTCGAGAGAGGACACTTTCCAGGTGAGACGGGGGGGGGGGGACAGACAAACAAAGCAAAGTGAGGACAGCTGTACACCCACACACATTTCGTGGACTTTCTTGCACGTGGCTTTCAAACAGGTTCGCAGACATTTGGCAATGAGACTATAATAACAAACGTGACAAACAAATAGGGTTAAGCCTCAGTGCAGTCTCATTCGAAGAGTGAATCGCGGTGTGCCGTCTAGAGGCGATGACGTTCAGACGAGTATGACCAAGAGAAAGGGAATACTAGAAAAGGTGGAATACTACGTTATTATGATGATTCAAATTAATATAGAGTCATAACTTCTGGTTAAACAAAACTAAAATGAAAACGGCTGACTAAAACAACACACTCGTTATCATCAGCTATCATCACAGGCCTCTGCCCTTGGTGCCTCGTTAAACTTTCATTGGACGGCATCCAGCCCTCGCCACGCGCTAACCCCAGTCGTTAGCACCCACAAGAGACCATAACCTGAAAACGCAGAGGGAGAAACTGTTGCGTCTTGCAGCTGTCTGACAAGCCAATGGAGAAACGCAATGGCTCCAAATCATTAATCATCATCATCAGCCCCATAGCCTATCCAGTGTTGGTCAAAGGCCTCCCCCAGAACGTCATCATCTTTCACAATCTCACAATAAAACAATCCATCTGACTCCTGCATGCCAAATGATCTCTTTGCTCTATCTCCTCGGCGGACGTTCCCTCTGGAAGTGTCCTCCCCCTTCGGCTGCCACTACATCATTGATGTTGACTATTGGCCATCATGCCTTCTTACGACAAGTCTTGCCCAAGCCCCCTGCCTTTTATAAATCATCAGCATGTTTCTAACTGGAATACCTTGCAGATCTCGTCAAGGAGCATACACCATCATGTGAACTACGGCTATCCTCGCAGTGGCTTTTGGCTAACCGTCAAACAAAGACGCTCACTGCATCGCACACTTACAGATGCACTTCTGCGGCCATCTGGAACGCTCTTCCTTCTGATATTAGGAAGCCACTGGAGCTATGCACTTTTAAATCATCTAGATTGAAAACGAATTTCTGTAGAACTGCTTTTTTCCGTTTAGTTCGTTGTATTTCCCCCACACCTCCAATTAGCACAGTTGGCTATGTACGGTGCAAAATAAGTTCAACATACGTACAAACATAAACAATACAACATACGTACACACATAAAACCTGCATATGCTCTCCAAGATGTGTATTCCTCATGCTGCGTCTCAGTATAATTACAGGCCTATATTTAATGACATATGTGCCATACAGTGTTATTCCACAGATGGCTTTTGGCAGAATGAAGGATAGATTACAGGTCATAATCACGATGGAATTTACTGCAATAATTACCATTGTCATCGATAATTAGGACAAATAATGGGAATGGAAATACCTCATTACATGAGTGACCACACTGATCTGCCAATGCTTAATCCTAACAGACTTTCATTGGGGAAAGCAAGATACAGACACATTAATAAAGCAATTGCAAGTCAAAATAGAGCCACATTTACAAACACCGGGCACTTCAGCTCAGACAATGAACAAAGCATGAGATGCTTGCGGCTGTGTTTCATTTAATGTGAGGCAGCAGTGCAGTGCAGCATGCTGAGACTATACATGCACTGACTCAGAGTGTGTCGTGAGTAATCTGCAGATCTTTGCCCTGTGGATTTGAAGATTCTGATAACGAAGCTGAGCTCTGTAAAAAAACAAAAAACTTCTGGGAAGAAAAATCTTAAACGGCAGTAGAGTTTCACGACTCTCTTTTGTTCAATATATCCCTAGCAGGCTAGACGGCGGAATTACATCCTCACCCTTATTGCCTCGTTTTTGTGGGTGACAGAGGGGTCAAGCAGCAATCACACATCGCAAAGGTGCACCGCATGCAATATTAATTCCCATCGCTCTCTCTTTCGAAGTGTCACACGAATTCATTACGAGCGGAGGCAGGGAGCGCACTACACGTAACATCTACCAGGAGCAACCGCTTTTCCCCTTGTGAGGGCATTCAGTTTTACAAGGTGGGGGGGGGGGGCACGTGTTCATGCCTTGGCCGAGTGTATTTTTCAAAGGGCGGCCGATAGGACTCACCCGCGCCCCGGTAGGAGGTACACCTTGACGAAGGGGTCCGAGAAGCCGTTATTGTCACGTGGTGCCAAGCCCCGCGCTTGCAGGACGTGAATGATCAGGTTTCCCGAGTGGCGGTCAAAGCTCATTTGCAGCTGCACGGAGGTGGACAATCATCATTCAATCAATCTTCATTTTACGTGCCAATGTCGCCCTCAATAAAGTGGGCATCGGTGCACATCACGGCGGAACGGGAGCGGTAACAGTGGCGGGGGGGGGGGGGGGGGGGGGGGTGCGGCCACGGAGAAACAGGGATGAGAAAATAAACCCGTCACGCCCTCCGCGGCCGACGTCGAGTGAGCAGAGTAAATTGCAACCGTGCGCAATGAACAGCATGAGAAAGGTAAGTAGTACATGAAATAAAGTAGATGAAAAGTAAAGAGTTTTTAATTAACATTTTAGATTTTATGGGACAAGGAGAGGGCAAGGGGCATGAGGCCACCAAACGTGAATCTCATTGTACGCTCCTGTGAGCACACGGCACACACAAAAACACGGGTTTTATAGCATGGTACACATTTTGGTTATTGCACTTTGCCACGAATAGGCACAGAGCAAAATGTAGCATGGAATTCAGTACGAATGGATATAAAAAAAGTGTTTAAAAAAAAAACAGTTACCTGAATCTCCCCAGTAATTGGATGAGAAGGTTTTGTAACTTCGATCTGTTGCAATCAAATAGAACAATATAACATTTCACTGAAGAAATTGCAATCTCTATCCATTATCAGTTCGAAGAAAAAATACTTTGTAACACTGCAGATTTGAAAAATTGAAATTTCTTCACCAGTTTGATGTCTCTGCTGTGCATCAGATAATGCATTAGAATAAAAAATTTGTGTGATGCGATATACACAAAACGTCAATGGCATATAAATAAATAGAAACGCCATGGGAACAATAGAATAAAAATTGGTTCAACACATAATCTAAACGTTGTTCTCTGATGTGGTCCATGAAGTAAATAATTAAAGCAGAATATTCTAATTATTGTTTTGTTTTTACTTATTCATGATGCATAAATTCACTGATAAACCACAATCAAATGGCTATGTAAAAACTCACAATATAGTTCCCAGCTCATAAGTCTTTAAATATCAAAACTTTCAAAAATGTGTTAGTAAAAAGTTTATTGTTTACATTAACTCACAGCGTATACACAGCCTATGAATTAAATGCAGCACAGATGAAATGAGCACACAAGTCAACGTGCAGGCTGACAGATCATCGTCATGACCGATGACACAACACGGTGTTGTATGCCCAGCAATTGGGATCCTGCCAATATTCCCGGGGATATTTTAAGACTGCACGTTGTCAGAGGGAAGGTGCTGCGTTAAAACAAATGGCAGCGTAATGTGACATCGCTTCCCGAGTGTATTAATCAGAGATTTCAGATCCACGGGTGAAACCATCCGGCTGTGCTAAAGGTGGTCAAACTCTGGCAGTCCAAAACCACTTGCTGCTCACAGAACACGGAACATTGGCCACGCAAGTGTGGGATATCTTGTTGCGGACGTTGTGCCGTAGATAAGCGGGCACAGATTTGTTAAGTGAAAGCTATTCTCCTCCACAAGATAAGATGTGCCCTTTTTTGAGCTGCCGTTTTGTATTTACAAGAGGTGGTCATTTTTTGAGCTGCCGTTTTGTATTTACAAGAGGTGGTCCTTTTTTGAGCTGCCGTTTTGTATGTGTAAGATGTGCGTGTTTGAGCTGCCGCTCTCGCTCTGGCCCCTCCCCCCCTCCAACCGTATTTCCTATTTAAGCTTCTGTTCATCCCTCCGCCCCCCCCCCTCCCCTCTCTGCCTCCCTGTCCGTCTTTCCTCCCTCCTTACCTCTTGGTGGACTTGTATATGTATTTCTACTGACCGTGTACCTCGTATTTTTCATTCTATCTATGCTGGTATGTGCAATCCAAAGGTTGAACACGAAATTTAACACTCTTCTGAAATTCGTGGTCTGCCAGGAAGTGTCTAACTGTGTTGTTGGCCTGACTGGATGTGCTTCACATAATGTTTTTTCAGGTTTGTTGAATTCTCGTCTCTCATCTTTTTGTTGTATTTACCTCCGTGATTTGTTCTTGACACCTGATGGAGATCGCTTGCGTTGTAATCGAAACGTCGTGATTGTTTTTGGTTTTAATATAATTTTATTGTATTTCTACATACGTGACTTTACCGAAAAAAACAATGAGTGAGTATATTTCTATCAACCAACTTTATGCATTTCTATAAAAAGAAACGTCAACCATGTCAGACCTATGAACATTTGACTCCATGACAAAGAGAGGCTCCCAAAGTTGTAATTTTTCCATGCGAAAAGGACTATCTTTATTGTCTAAACGTATGCAACGTTACAAATAGTCCCCTCTCAACTCTCTTCTCGATGGTAAACACATAGAACAGAACCAGCACATGAAAGGAATCGCATTTTGAGGATCTGTCAGCAGCAAGGTCACATCCACTTGGGTTAAATTGAACGTGTAACAAGCCTGATAATTCATGACCAATGGCTAATTTTTATTTCGCAAAAAAAAAAACACTTGATATGGTGCAAAACTTTCATATCCATTTAAATGCAGGCTGAATAAATACATGACGTTGAAGGATATCAGCGTTATGCAAACGCCACTCGGGACTGCACTTTCACGGCGCTGTGAGCCCGGTGGCGGTGCAAGAGAATCTCATCCATGCGGCCTGGATATACTCCCATAGGTGCCAACCAATGCGATCTCAATAAGGTGTTCGCTTTCTTCATGGTATGGATGATGCCACCGTTTTGCAAGTGGGCAGCGGTGAGGGAGGGAGTGAAGGGGTTGGGATGAGGATGGCCATGGGGGCATAGCCGGGTCGAGGGGAGGGAGGGGGGACGCCGTGACCCTGCCGGTGTTGTTACGCAGGGACAAATCGACGCCGTCTGCGTGAAGGCGCTGTGTAGCCGGAGGGATGGGACACCGGGCGGGCAACGTTAATGTGGCAACGACGCCGGCTCGAAGCCCTGCCTCGCGTCACGATTATATATTTTTGGTTGTTTTGTAGCTCCCGCTATTTATAGCGTGGTGGTACATTTTTAATGCATCATAGCTAGTGGTGGTGGAAAAAAAAGGCATTGTTCATCACAACACAGACAATTTTTTTCCCGGGGTTGTACCGATCTCATGCATGGATTTTTAGTCGTGGGGGGGGGGGGGGGGCTTAAGTCCATTATTCCTCCGTGCCGACGTCAGGCAGTAATAGGGTGAAAGCCCCCTACCCCCACTCATCCCCGACCCTCCCCACCCAGCTTGGAAATTCTAGACCACGCTTACGTACGTGGTCAAGGTCTCACATTAGGCCCTGACGACGACGCAAAGCACAATTCAAACAGTGGAGGAGATCCAGCAGGTTGGGAATCAAGTAGTTTTGCTACCCCGACGCAGGCTGTTGGGGGCAAGTGCTATTAGCGATCACCCGTGAAGGCCGGAGCATGCAAACTCACAAAGACAACGATCCCCTGCATGGCTTCCACATATCTTTGGGGCAGGTGCTGTTCGCGGAGCATCTGTACATTGGTAGAAATGCGCATGCACGCGCGCACGCGCGTCACACGCAGCGCCGGTACAACTAGCTGGGTGCATCGTGCCACAGGTGAGACTGGCAGGGTGGATCATGCCACAGGTGAGGCTAGAATTGTGGATCATGCCACAGGCGAGAAGTCACACGAGGAGGGACGGGAGACAAGAGGGAGGCACTGGCCTTGGAGTGGCGCTTCTTGCTGCCGCTGGCGGGCGAGGCAGGTCGGCTGGGGCTCGACGTGGCCGACAGGCCGTCCCGTAGATGCTGCTGCTGCTGCTGCGTCGTGGCCGCGGGTGTGGCCGTGCCGATGACGATCAAGGTCTTGCCGTCCATCTGCGCCGTGGCTCCGGCTGCTCCTCCGGCACACTGCGCCACCTTGCGCAGCTCGTACGCGAGCTGCTTGGGGTCCACGCCCGGTGACCTCTGGCGCTGCGATGCTGTGAACCAAACGGGGCATGGTTTGTGGATTTGAAGCTCCACCCCCCCCCCCCCCCCCCCTTTCAATTTGTCTCTGTAAGATAGCCCTTGCCAACCACGCCTTTGGTACGCTCAACAGTCGAGCCCAGTCGCACATTGAAGTAACAATCCTGGCACACCTTCGTGAAAAGGTGGGTGCCAAACACGGCGTGATACTGCTCTGAATTACTGCTTTGGGTTACACAAAAGAGTTTTAATTAACATGCGTTTGAGAGTCTGATTTTACTCTGAGAGAGTTGAGAGTTTCGAATGACTAAGTGATCTCTCTCTCTCTGTTATTAGCAACTCGCACTCATAGCTGATTCATTTTATGGTATAATTGCACAGACCTTAATCAATAGAACCACTTATTTTTTTGCAAGTGCAAGTTTGTTTTTTGGGTTTGACATGGTGTTCGGGTGATAATTAATTTCTCTAGAACTGCTTTGTGTGTTTAGTTTGTTGTCCTTCCCCCGCACCTCCGATTAGCACAGTTGGCTATGCGCGGTGCGAAAGAAATTCAACATACAGTACATACATTTGGGACACGTGGTGTGGTATTTTAATACAAAGTGTGATTTTTGCACAAAGTGAGGGTTATTTATTGTAAGTTATCACGAATAGGAACGGGGAATATGTATGCCATTGCCAATTACTTTTTTAATAGAAAACACTGCATATAATATTAAACTCATGGCACAATATCGATGTCTTTCCAGGCATTTTATTTCCATCCTTTCATGAAAAAATATTTAATGACATAAGCAAATAAAGCACATCATGAGTAAAAAAGTAATATTTTGATGAAAACTGAAGGCATTTTATATTCATACAAGTGAAAATAACTTTTGTCTGGCAAGAAACTATTTAAAACACCTTTAATCTGTAATAAAAGCGATTCCATGATTCATCATTACCACATGGCATTTCTAGAATTTTGCCACACAAATCTACCAGTCACTGCAGGCCAATTGTAACAAAAAAAGCTATGAGGAGGAAGAGTAGGAGGCTCCTATCCCCAGATGTAATTCAAAGCCAATCAATGGAATGAGGGTAGTTGATAGGTCTTTTCCACATCAGCCAGAGTCCTTTTTGTTTGCTTAACAGCAAAAGCCACAGGGGCAACGATGAGACCTTGATCCACAATGCCACTGCTCAAAGGGACACCTTTAGACTCAAGGCCCGGCCTTTCAAGAGCGCATTGAGTACAGAGAGACGATGCATATTTTATTTTGCTTTCACGGCTCGTTTTTAAGATATCAACTCTCTCTCTTAATCTGTATAGCTAAAAAAAATATCGTCAATATAACGGTGATTCAATCCGGTATACTCTGGATGATTCATCCAGTACGGTATACGAACTCTGGCTATTACATTTTTTATCCTCTAATGCGAAGGTTGACGGCAGGTTTTGGATATTTTGTTTTAAATTGGTCTGCGTGGCAAGGTAGAAAAGTAGGTCATGTATCTCTCAGGAACTGATGTTTAGAATAAACAATGAACACAAGTTTCAAACAGAGGACACCACACTGACAGCACAGCAGACCAACAAACACATTGTTACAGGGAATCCTTCCCAGACACAGCCAAATGAGCAGAACTCTATTAATGGGCTTGGCCGAGTCTTCCATTACTAAAGTTCTGGAAATTACACCATATAATCACTTTAATATTTCTCACACCAGGTACAGACACTAAATAAAATATGGATTTGCCCACAGCTCCTGGTGGCAGCGTGGATTGTAAATTTATTTTTGGCGGGTCCCTGGGAAGCCTGCTGGGGTGGGGGCAGGAAGGGGGAGGGGAAGTGGGGGATGGATGGGGAGGGTGGGGGGTGGCAGGCAGGGGGAGGGGGGTCTACAGTTGCAGTTTGTCATCCTCGAAATGAGTTGGTTGTTAAGGTTTTCTCCTTTTTAGCTTTTTACTGGTGGGACCTGGCTTCAACGGGCCCCCGAACGACGATCCACCACTGGACAGGTCAAGCACTCTTTACTTGCGTTCCACAACTACACGACGGAACTGCACGCGGTGAATTAATTTAGACCACCTCCGTTAATAAAGTATAGATGCGAGTCGGACAACTATTATTATTTCAATAGCATTTAAGATCTCCTGCTCAATTGGCTCTGGGTGTCACAAGTGTAAAAAAAAATAAAAAAGCTATGGCTCTGATTTCGACAAAGAATCCCAAAGGGGCAGTGAGATGATGCGTAGACCTTACTTACTCAAGCTGGAATATTCCTGCAGCTCTAGGCGTTGAGGGTTCTCCAGGTCTGAGAGCATGTTGAGGTCCCTGTTCGAGGACACAGATCTACACACATTATTTTGTTCCACTGTAGGCGATTTCCACAAAATAGGGCTCATCACTCACCGAATTGACATTCAAGAGTGCAGCATTTTTGCAGGGAGTAAGACAAGGAGTAAATTACGATGACATCCCTTTAACCCCTGGATGTTTTTGTTTTTGCTCTTTTCAGGAGGTCACGGGATTTTGTTGTTGCTGTAAAAATGCCGTACGGGCAGCCAATTCGGATATCACGAGATGTTCTTTATGAAAAAAAAAATAACTTGCTTCGGCGCACAAGATAAATGCCATAAAGTAGGGGTTGAAGGATGCAATATTTAATAAATAAATTCCGATTCCTAAGCTCATGGTATATGATTTGGATCGTGTAAGGATACATATTATTCCGCTTCATAAATGTTGCACGCAATGGTTTGACATCACCCCTGCAGTTACTTAGGAGGCACTATCATTCACTGCAATATATACTGTATATAAAATTACTCATCCGTTAATCAAACATTGACCTTGAATTGCTGAAGTTCATCGATTTGCCCGACGAACTGCTCCACCCCTACTATACAGCATTGAATATACAGTTATTTAACACACACACCTCCTGTAACATCGATAAATAAATACTAATACTACATTAAACTATCTGGGGTTATTTACCTCTGTGGTGTACTACGGACGGCACTTTAATAAGGATGGCCCCATTCTTAACGCGCCCTCATTTACAACTCTCCGCCGGGCAGAGGGAGTGCCAAAGCGTTGCAGTGTAAGGACCCTTCATCAGCACAGACATTGATCGACACTCCTTGCCAGGTTTTAGCTTTTCTAATCTTCTTCGAAGGCTGCTCAATCCTTGTGTAAGCCTCAAGGCAACAACATCTTGGGTCGGGAATAGTAGATATTAGTCTACACCGAGGCCCAAAGTTTATTGCGTTTCTTCATGTAATAAATAAAATGACCGTTCCTTTTGTAATACAAATAAGCCGAGAGATATGCAGCATTATATACAAGGCATATTGCTGTGCATGTGTATATTTTAAAGTGCTAAAGCGAATATATATGTATATATTTCCACATCCTGTTCCATTCGTGGTTGACTTTGGCCCTTATCTCTCCAGGGCTGATATAATGGATGCCACTTTGTGGGAAGTGGAGTTGGATCCTGGCTTGCGGCTTCGATGGGCAACCAACCAGCATGCATTCAAGAGGGTTTTGTGGATTTTCTGCAGGGCTACATTGTCAGCAGCCGGAGCACCGCAGTAACATCCATTACTGTTCTGCACGATACTCAATGTATATACTCCCCGCCTTCACAGATCTTCGCACTGACCAGCGTGGTGCACTATGGTGAACGCGCTCCTAACAAATGAGCCGCGTGACATGGGGGAAGGCCCTCATCCAGCAGTGGATTTGGCAAAAGGGCCACACGGGCACACGTGCTGTCGCCGTTGGCGATTGCAAAAAAAAAAAACCCCACGTTTATTTTAGCCATGCTGCTGCAACATGCAGTGACTTCATCACCCCAGGCCAGAGATGATGTTTTGCCCGTGGTTCCAGCCGCTGGGCCCGTAGGCCGAGCGTGCGTCGCGTCTGCCACTAGCGCCCACGCGGAGAGGGCCGCGAGACGGCGGCGGCACGTACAGGCGGACGCAGATCTCCACCTCCTTGTCGTGTCTGCTCAGGATGCTTTGCACCTCCTCGAACGTCCTCCCGGTCAGCGGGATTCGGTTCCACTCCAGCACTTGCATCCCTGCGGCAGGGCACGACAGCAGGCACAATACGGTGGCCTCTGGTTAAACCGTCCGGAGCTCATTAATAGGCCACGAGTTGTTAACAGGGCATGAGTCAAAGAGGTGGGTTGGTACTACCTGCGGTGGTAAACGCCACCAGTAATCCGGCCGGGCAGTATCTCTCATTGGCAGAAAGCTTAGTTGTACGTATATGTCTTTCGCACGGTGCGTACCCAACCGTGCTAATTGGAGGTGCGATTAGTGCGGTTGGCACATACTCTGTTTGATACACTCTCTATATTTGTCATATCACGTGGATGTTTCATGTCACATACGTTCTAGTTTTTACTGCTCAAACCGGTATTCTCTAGGTGACATACCGCAGTAAACATGGGAACGTTCAGCCAATGGTTTTAAAAACATGCCAATGTTCCATGTTTATGGAGACTATGGTGCCCTTATTTTACAAAAATCTATCTCAGAAACAGTTACAACAGTGACCTTGCTATCATGTGTATATATTTGTGATCTAGAAGTAAACTAATTAAAGAAAATCATGGTAAGAATTTGCCACACTAGGTGCTACCAACAAGACATTTTTGGGCTATTTACTCAAGGACCATGAAGCCACGCACGGAACGCTGGGTGGCCCATAAGTTTCATCACGACGGGCTAAACCGACATTCTGTGTTACGTTGCTTGATTCAGCAGACTTGTAATGGTGCCTAAGATGATGCTAAACCACCAAGGCAGCGTGCGCCCCCTCAATCGCATCATGAGATTTTTTTTTTTTACAATTGTGTCTTTTCATTTTAGCAAGGGCCTTCCTTTGTTTACGAATAAGCTACGAGACTGGCACGCAGCTGGCCGCAAGGCCGCCCGCTGAAGCTTCGTGGCTTATTTAAAAAAAAAAATTAAGGTCACACTGCATTCACAGATAAACAAATGTGGGAGAAACATTTTCGATTTTTTTTTCTTTTCGAAACTGATTATCAGTCTTAAATGTACACAGGCCTCTGAAATGCACATCTTTATAACACCGCTGTGTCACGATGTAGCCATGATCATTTCTTCACGTGAGGATGCTTTTTTTCTCTCCGAATAACACCCGTGGAATACCAAGGGGTTACTGTACACGCGCCTGCAGTCACCACCAACCCGCGACTGACCATTTTCACTCTCCCCTCATCCGCCCCAAAGATTTTCGACAAACTACGGAATTAGTATTGCATCTCTACGGCCGAAGTGAATGTGCAGACATTCAACAATTTAGCGTTATATATATTTTTATCTTTTCAGAGATTGTACAAAATGCACAAATGGTGCATCAAATATAAACCACGCACTTGCACCTTCTTTCATGTCTGCAAGATTTTGGTGCAGAAAAAAGTGCGCAATTATTATAATGAAGCGTACCAGCGTTGCAGTTGTTTCAAGAGGAAATGCTCATTTGCATCTCTCACTGGGATCTATAGTCCTGTGATTTTATTATTTCTTTGATGTTGGCATCTTAAGGTATAACATACAACTTATCTACTGCTGGAATTCCCAACAACAATGGCAGGTGATGTTTCAGAATTCCTTATTTGGTTTATATGCTGCATCGCATTTGCCTCTCCTGCCATTTAGAGGACAAAAAGGCTTTAATGTGTCATTATATTCTGTACGCTCAAATTAAATGAATGCGGCAATTAGCTCTCAAATAATTATACGGTTTTAACTCTTTTGGGGAAAGAATGGAGAAACCAGACTAAATGACAAATTCAGCGGCATAGGATTAGTGGCCACTTTTGTTCAATTGCATCGGAGGGGTAATGCAGAAATTCATAACTGGATTTGCTTCTATTAATTAATGTTTAAGATGGTTAGCTTTCACCTTATGAGCTGTATATCGTGATTTAAACATTTTCACATCTGGCTCAGTTCAACGACTTACTTATATCAGTGGTGGGAATCTCACGAGATTGCTAAATGCCACAGTGGCAAGTGGCTAACGCTTTTCACATTTTTCACGGACTGCATTAATGTATCTGGAAAAATCGAAGATAATAAAACATAATTTATTGCCATTGCACGTATGATACCTACGTCATCAGTTCATACCATTGCTGGCCTAGGTGACATCTTGCCTGTGCTTTTAACTCACTAACCCAATGCACAATGCAAACATCAACACTATTAAGATATTCCTTCCAAAGCAAATCGTGTTTTTCAAGACATATACTCACAAAACATTACATGTATGCACCTATGACCAAATATTAATGATTGCATCTGCTCTCAAGAGCTAAATAGGGTGAAGCCTGATTGGTACGTATAAGAGAGATCTGAATACCAGGTGGTTATAGGCTAGGGCTGCGAGGTGGTAAAGGAAATGGCAGTCAAGCAATGTATTCTTGAGTCTAACCATGCTGAGTTTTGAGCGTTCATCCCTCGTATGTATACATTTCCTCACGGCACTCTTGTCATTCCCCTCCACATGAAGCAAAAGGCTCATTCATGGAACTGGCCAAACATCCCAATGCAGGATCCTCTTGAGTGAGTCGTAAGACTCCGTGAGTGTTTCCTGATGAAATGAAGAAAATAATTATTACGGATAATTTCACTTGAATCTAGATCATTATCACCGCCGACCATGAAAAATTCAATTCTGGATGAAGAATTTCCCCAAGCAAAAACATCCCCCAATCCAATACCCTGTGAAAGATAGTTAGACATGAAACACATCGGATCATGTGTCAATAACACCCCTTTGATTTTATCAACACGTGAAGACTGTTTTGGCGTAGGCCTGATGCATAACTTTTTTTTACAAAAAAATCGTTTTGATGAAAGAGAAACACGACACCTGCCAGGACTGGTGCACGACTCGGACACTGTCATTACACCCCTGCCAGCGATGTTGACAAATGCCACTAATTTACACTCTGTAACAGAATGGCACCTAAAAACCTGGTAAATTTCATGTTCCCGACTTACCCTTCGAATTACGGGTCTCAACCACAGCAGGCGCTAAATTTTACATTCAGCTGTTGCAGTGTGAGAGCACGGCTTGCGTTGCAATCTGGAGCACACGAGTCAAATGCGTAAAACGAATGCGAAATATGAAAATCTCTGCGCGCAATTGCAGTGGGCGGCTGGGTATATATTTACGTGTGTATGTGCGTGATAAACGTGCGGAAATGTGCTCGCCCAATGAAGCTGTTTTTAATGGCTGCAAATTGCTACAACATAGAAAGTTGCTCATTCTAGGTGACGAAGTCTTTGCCGCCGCAGCACCAACGTTTTGGAACAACCTTGTTTCCTCCCTTAACATCGTAAATGTTCATCCCAAAAAAAATATCCCGAAGCAGAAGATCAGTGCTGCATGCAACTGCATTTGCAAATGTGATTTGTAACTTTCATCCTTCGCCATGTATCGATAGTTCAATTTTGATAGAACTAACGACTGTGTGTTGTCTTGATGTGGTCTGGGATTTGTTTCTTTGCTGTTGTTTTGCTGCCTTGGGATTTGTTGTACATATGCAATTTGAGCTCATTTGCTTTATCTATTTTACGTAATTATTTAGCTGTTATTTGTTTACCCCTCCTATACTTTGCACTCCTATCTGGGTTTTTTTCATTGTTTGTTGTTGTAACTTTTTGACCCGCCCCCTACTGGACATCGGATTTCTCCAGGATAAACATAAAAAAAACATTCTGATTCTGAAAACGATTGTCACTATTAAACACACACACATTTCAATTCACGTTGTAGATGTGATTAGGCATAAAAAGGTTGTGCTGAGTAAGACACGTGTGTGTGTGTGTGTGCAGGATTGGGGAGGGCCGGTTTACGGGACGGGTGTAGCGCTGCGGAGGAATCTGCACGAACCGCCCAGCAACCAAGAGGAAGACCTCAGCGCGGGCGGTGGGAGACTGAGCACGGATCGTGGGAGACGGATCTTGGGCGCTAGGGTGGCGAAATGTTAACTAAGTCGCCTGGTATAGAGGCGAGTGGTTCTGTATTTTACTGGTTTGTATTGCTGTATTTGCTCAGTACCCTGGTCTCCCATTACCCAGGTGTTATTCACACATCAAGACATTAGGCACAATCGATAAAAAGGTGTGATTGTGATCTTCAGCTGATTTAATTTCTGAAATTCATCACTCAAGCCACATTTGCAATGACCGTATCTCCGAGTCCCCAGTGTACGCATTGATAGTGAACTTTTGAAAAAGAAAGACACGTCTGACCTCTCATAACGTTTTTCAGACGACAACGGCACCACGATACGTTTAAAGCCAGCACACGAGCTGGCATCGTGAACGTGTGCACAATTTCGCTTGAAATAAAAATGTAGAACGCTTAAGACTGGCTACGGCTGTAATATTCAGGTCTGAATGACTCAAGTGAGCCATTGAGAATTTGACATTGGTCAAAAATGAGATGCACAACAAGTGTGTTCATGCATACAAATATTAATTCATGACCGGCCGAATGAGACACTGCACATCTCTTTCGCAAGAGAGATCTGGGTCACAAGCTAAAAAAGGCGAATAAATAAATAAATAAAATTATTTTTTTATATTTAAATGTCAAATAAATGTCTTAAATTATACGATAGATCAGTGAAATATTTTACAGTCAAACGTTTAACACAAATCTACAATTTAATTGTATATGATGTTAGTTGTATTTACACGATATAAATGAAGTGAAAGTATTAAAGTCTAAGTTTTTGCTTATATAATTTGTTGTTGTTGTTGTTTAACCATGAAAACAAAAAACCCTGTGCACAGCCAAGGCCAGCTGTGAAGGACGAGCGTGGTGCCTCACGGTGACACACCCCTTCACGAGTACAATTGGCCAGGAGGGTTGAACAAACTTCTTGCAAACCAAACATACAAGTCAAAGGTCATCTGTGGCTCAGCTATTTCATTTCTAGAGCTGGCTGTTAGGCTATCAACAATCCGGAATCGAGCAATAGATTTTATCATCATCAGCTGACAAAAAGATGTATTGATCATTTTTCGTATA